CTGCTCAAATAATTTACTGACAGCGATAAAGATTAACACAGGACGATAGTTATTGATCAATGATTTAAAGCCCTTTATTGAATAGGAACTATTTGTGCCCGTTTCCAAATAGTAAGAAAAGTACAAGCTTACATTACAATGCAATAATGTCGTATTATGTTTACCTATAGGGGTGACATATTCAAATAAGAATAAACTCCCTTAAATAAAGAAAAAAAAAGAAAACTACAATTATTAAGAGATCTTTGAAACAGAATAAATAGTTATTGAGCGGGAAAGACTATCAGCACAAGGAACTAAAAAATTTGGAGGAACACTACCAATTAAACATTTCATCGACATGAGTAATGAGCACGTGACGCTTTTGATATGAGGTTGCATGTTTTCATAGGCTGCTTGGTACTATTACATCAGGCGGGCCATACGCATATACTCGTATTACCAAAATAGAAATTAAAGGATATTATACCTATGTATAAAATTAGCATACCTGCAGCTTCTAGTATCCTTGTTACAAAAGTTACTTCACCCTCTTCTATATGTAACTTGCATATTCATATATATTCTCTATCTATGTAGATATAAGTATTCTTATACAACAAAAATAAAAAAGTGTATTCCGTATTTTGTATATCTCTAAAAAATCAAACCACACAGTGTCTGACGTAGAAAACATTCTAACTAGGCTCGCTTCGCGTGTGTTCTTGATTCCAAATTCCAAAGAGTATTATGTAAGGGAGAGAAGTCTCAATGACGACCTAATAGCTTTATCGTTTTAGAATGTATAATTACCAGGTTATGTTTATCTGTATAGCTCTTTCCGCCTCTCGGGTAAGTTTTATACCTAAGATATTATACGAAGCAAGTTTTATTCGGTATTTGGTTCGTAGTTTGTAATAAATAAAAAAAAAAAAAAATAAATAAATAAAAAAAAAAATATGGCTCTGTATCATTACTACATAGTTAATTAAAAATAACATTTAAATTCTCCTCTCTGTTCCAAGATCATACGTTTGTACCTACGTGAAACTGAAAAATACCAGATGCGCTCATTATGCAATACTTTTGCAACGTGTTATTACGAATATACTGAAATATAAACAAATAAGTATAATTTGTGTCAATGGTTTTAAAAAACAGCAATCCGACTTTGAAACAAAGGAAGGTACCAAACGTTTTTCGGATATAGCTAAATGTAGGGATTTTTTTGAATGATGAAAATGGAATTGTAACCTCACCTGCGGTATTGGTTTATACAAGTGGATACTGGTAAGAGTGATGAATTCACTAATAATTAACTACAATGGTTTACATATGAATTTTTAAAGGTAGATATAACATAGTAGAGATGTAAATAGATATTTATACTTACAGCAATAAAATACTATAAAAAGAAATAGATTTTTACCTATGCCAAAATATCCAATAACTAGTTACTTATAACTAACTAATTTCAGGCTAATTTTAGGTACCTAGATAAAGTTTGTCTGATAGTGATAGATAGTGATTGCCTGAAGGCGACAAGAGCTTCTTTTGTATCACTTCACCTTAATTGATTACTGTATTTCTAAATTGTGTAACTAGTGTAATAAAGTGTAAAAAAATTAATAAGTTACACGAGTGAAATACCTACGATAGAACTATGCCAACCTCGACATTGTATGCAAAGATTACAAAACAAACATTCATATGTGCTGACTAATTCAATGAAAATTAAACAACAAATTTGTATTTACTTCCTTTTCTCGGAAAATTATTTAATGTTATATCTTACAAACGAAAAACAGCACGCGGTAATGTTTGTAAACTAACTGAAAAGACCGGGAACCTTGGGAAGTGCAGCTAACATGTTCCATCCCGTGGCAAGCGATACCGTACAGTTTTAAGCTTTGGATGCATGCCCCAAAGATCAAATTACTGGAACACATCTGGAATTCTCATTTAAAATACAACACGTTATAGTAATATCAACTTTAAAATAAAACATATAAGATCCAGTAAAGATAGTCAGAGATCTGGAAACTTCGGGCCCGAAATCTGTTTACCAGTAAATCACGCTCATTGTTTGAATAAACTTCTATTTCGATGCATTACTGTGAACTAAACTGTGCTTGTAGCACGAGATTTGCGCTAAACAATGTTTCTTGGTAAATGAAGGAAACGAAAGCTAACTGCGCACTTTTAAAGAGATTTCAATAATAACATTTAATAGATACTCAACCACGCCTACTCGACGTAAATAAATTCTAAACAGATGGATAAGCTTTACATTTTAATATTCTTTAGAGATGGTTTTCCTTATTACGAAAAAAGATGTGGGTAATTGAATAGGATTTCATATAATTTATGGTGTTATTAAGGTTTATTTATTTAGTTGATTTTAGGTTAATTTAATAGATTAAGATTCGGTGGGATCTTAATGTAATGAACTTTCTACTTTCCCACGTTTCTCTAAAATTTTAGATAATTATCAGTAGTGACTAATTTCAACAGGTATAAGGGTATTTAATGAAATTTTAATTTAAAGGAGAGCGAAAATATAATACATACTACACAATATAATACATATGTATATAATAAAATATAATAATACATACCTATTTACAGCAATTTTTTAAAGATTTTTATATGCTAGTTTATCGAGAAAAGAATTAATTCCGTTTAGTGAGGGTTTCATTTAAAAGAGTCAATTCCCTATATCTACAATACCATTCATCTGGATCTGAAAAAGAATTGCTAGTAATGGTAAACTATCAGTCCCATTGGTGGCAATATACCCACCCTGCAAGGCCAACCTCCACGTGAAGTAGCCACGATGATTTGGCCCGTGGAATCGTGGTTAATTCTCGTGGAATTCATGAGATAAATTTAGATTCAGGAGATAAATTTACCCAAAACTACCGTACTATCACGTGACAATCCCAGGCTGTAGCTAACTGAGAAAAAGGAACCCAGATGTATTATTTTCTATTTTTATTAAAATTTCATTTAAACTAAATTTTATTACAATGCCATACGACAATTTTGTAATTAAAAGAGGGATTTCAGTCTATATTATATAAGGTTAAACTAGAACGTTTTCTCGTTTTATTGATAAGATATAGGTTGTATGTCCATCATTCAAATGAATGGAATTGAATAATCCAATCATCCAATGCATTTATATTCTGTTAAAACGCAATATTCGACTTTCCCATGTTTCACCCAAATCTTACCTAATTAGAACACAATATTGCGTATGCTTTAAATTATTAGATAGATTTATAGGTGTGTTAATGTATATTGATATATGTAGGTATACTATTTAAATATGAGTCTATTTTTACATTAGATAGATACTTTATAGAGGTCGCAAAAGATATCTAATAATATCATAGATATTTTAAGTCATCAACCAAAACTTTCAGTAACTTTCTGACTTTTGAAAGTTTTAGAATTCATCTTCACTCACTAGAAATTAAATGGTCAGAGAAATTTCCCCTTGTGAATGCTCAGGCTGTGGATTGAGCTCCCTGTTGAGGTTTCCCCTAGAGACTACAGCATAAGTTTCTTTAAACAGGGTGTATTAAGGTTTCTTCAAGGTTAGCACCACGCACATAATATCCCTAGTATTGTAGGCGTCCATAGACTACAGTTACTATCAGACGGGTTGTATGGTTTAATATAAGAAAATATATCTATACATATATATATATACTTAATAAAACTGTAGAGGTCCTATGTCCTATGTCTGTACAAAGAAAAAAAAACGTTAAAGCCAAGTCAGGGAGATGTTACAAGTGAAATAGAACCCATCCAGATTTTTTGAAATTTTTTGTTTCTCTGTCTGTTTGTACGAGCTAGTCTTCGAAACTGTTAAACCGATTTAAATGAAATTTTACACGGTAGTACCATATATCCCGGTCAATATTTAAAATACTTTTAATCACGGTAAATTAAAGAGTTTCTGTGGGGCAATTAAAAACTTATAGTAATTTATATAACCTAGTATACAACCTACATAAGTAATATCATTTTGACCTAATGCAAAGAGAGAACGTCACGTCATTTGTTAATTTTTGTCCAGTATTCCCAAACATAATAAATAGTTAGGTACATCGATACATACTAAACAGGAATAACAAATACTACACGTACAAAGTCGCAGGCATCAGCTAGTAAACAATATGACTAACAGAGTACATACTCTTGAACTGGTGCTACTTGCAAGGACTGATCTGTTCAAGAATAGCGTGATGAAATATAAAATACTTTAATAATGTTCTATTTGTGATAGTTACTAAATCAAATAAAAAATTGTACAACCTAGTAAATAGTTAAACTTCTGTTTGAAAAAAAATCAGTAGTAGCGGCCAACCGTTGACAGTAGAAAATTCTTGATCGTTTATATTTATGGACCATATTGTTCTTGTTTTTGGTTAGGATGGTGTAGTTACCTGTTAAGCTAATAAAAAATGGGAATAGGTTTTTATCCATTTTCTCAACTAAAATGGCGTTATGAATTGAGTGACAGAATCATATAATTGTTCAAAAATGCTTAACATTATGTTCAATTGAATCAAAATTTTTTTACAACACAGGGGGCAAACGAGCATGCGACTCATGATCAACCATAACACGGCTTTGCAGGTGTGCTACCGGCCTTTTAAAAAAGAATAAGCTATTTTTGCTAAGCTAATAATCTTTATTCAAATAAACAGTTTACAAGCTCTTCTATCATATTTTTTTTTTGTAATTGTACTGCTGGTATCAGATTGTTGTTATCTGCTGAGAAGAACCCGCAAGAATGAATCACAGTTTTCAAAATATCGCAAAATAGTATTAGATTTTTTAAATAACTGTCACACACACACACACACACACACACACACACACACACACACACACACACACACATATATATATATATATATATATATATATATATATATATATATATATATATAGGATAAAAATAAAAGCGGTTAATAAAAGAAAATTAATAAAAACAAAATACAACGTATTCAGGTAACTAATTTATTATTCGAATATAAATAACTAATACATTTCTTCAATTAAAAATTCGTGAACAGATTTTCTGTATCTATCTGGCAACACATCTGTCAATTCATTTCTCGTCAGCCAATTAGCTTTCACAGCATTTTTGACGTTCCCGCTCTTGTAATAAGCGTAATAGAAGAACACCTGTAAATATGTACATCAAATAACAGTATTTTCTTTTATAAACATTCATCGAGACTAAGTAGTGAAATCTATTCTGCTGTAACTCAAACAACTTTGTGAAACTACAGTACCTATAACTCAAATGAACATTCAGTGACTATGAGTAATGTAAATTAAAATTATAATTTATAGTTACCCCCACAAAAGACCCGTTCAACAAACAAAATGGTATTATGTCCTTAATTTTCTAAGATTATGCGTGTAAATTAGTATTTTTTTTATGAATGTTAATGGAAAGGTAACTCCGCCTGCGCAATCGGTATACGCTGACGGGGCACCAGTGATAGATGATAGGTAAGGATGAAAGCATGTCAGTTGGCCCATCGTAATGAATTCTACAAGAATTAACCATGATGGTTTCTAGAGGGAACAGCGAGGAGGTCGACCTGCTAGCAATGTGACTGTTAGACCACGATACTATTAGCTGAGTGCATTCTATACCTCAATTAATTCTTCGCATTTTTATAATATTGACTAACGAATATTAAGGTAATGAATACACGTCATAAATGTTTAAAATAAATTTCAACGAAATTTGCTCACTATTTAAATATCGAGGTATCCTTACTAATATAAAAATGTAAAAGTGAGTTTGTTTGTTATCTTTTAGTGTCTTAACGGCTAAATGAACAATTTTGAAATTTGGTATTGTGGCCAAAAGGACTAAGTTGGTATGCTGTTTTAGGAAAGTAATATAATTATACAAAATATATATACAAAGCAAAAAGGAAAGAATTAAACAAACAAAAATACGACAATGTAAAAATTGTCACAAAAAAATAACTTTTTTTTTTTTTTAAAAAATCAATAAGATGTGTCGTGCACCGGTATATACCTATGTACTATACGGGATGGAGAAGGATATATTATTATTATTTCAGCCGTTAACTGTCCACTGCTAGACATAAGCCTTCCCCATTTTTTTTTTTGATGGATGATAATGGAATGGTAACGCTGCCTGCGCTAACGGGATATGCTGGTGGAGCACCAGTGAAGGGTGATAGATGAACTGAACAGGCCAGTTAACCCATCATGATGAATTCATCAGGAATTAACCATGATAGTTTCCAGGGGGAATCGCGAGGAGGTCAATCTGGTTGGGTATATTGCTAGCAATGGGATTCTCAGTCTCTATCACTAACAATCCCTTTCTTCCCAGCCTTCCCCATTTGGAGAGTTTTTCCAGTAGTTGCCACAGTTGGCAGGCGGGTTAGCAACAGCATTTAAGCTTTTACAGATATTTTAACCACCTCTTACGACATCCATGGGAAAGGATGGAGTGGTCCATTCTATGCCAGAGCACACATGGTGAAGTATATAGGCTATTTTTTAAGTATTTTAAGTTTATCTCAGTCAGTTAACTTATTCCAGTCATGTGAATAAAGTCATGGGTAAAAATTTGTACACATAAACATGGTGACATGGGATTTTTCTATATTAATATAGTGATTTTTGCTTGATTATAATATATACAAATACATAGTTAATTATTTGTTTACCTTACTACCAACTTTTCCATTAATTTCTGAGGGATATTTGTATTTGTAAAATCCGCATGGTGCATTTGATAAAAATTGTACTTTCAATTCTGGTCCACACTGTTCTAATAATATTCTTTCAGCTGTCTATAACAAATTAAGATCAAGATATAATGCAGTATTAGCACAAACTCAAAAACCAAACTAATGATCACTTTGCTTGTTTAATTTTGGTACCTCAAATCTAAGTAAATTTTTATAGTAAACTGGATGCTGAAATAAATTTAACTAATACCTACTTAATAATACTAATACAATAAACTAACTTAAAAACACACTCAGTGCCTTGCTTTAAAAAAAGTCTATATAGGCCAATAGTGGTTGCAGTGACGGTGCAGTGCTGATGTTAATGATGGTGGAAAATACACTATAAAACTAATTTTGGTAGATATTTACAAATATAGAGACTATAACCAGAGGGAGACTTTGTACAAAAGTCGATTGCTTGGGTACCTCTGTCCCATTCGTGTTTCAACCGTAAAGCAGTTGTGTTTGCATGGCTGTTTTGGTTTGCAGGGTGGGATATAGCGTGAATTTACTGAGTACAGAGGAATAACACCTGAGTCCTCAGGAATGGCAACGCATAGGGGGTATCATGGGTGAAACAGTATACTCTGTTATGTCCATGGTACTGCTCATGTCTATAAGCGATGGTTACCACTTTCCATCAGGTGGACCATCAGCTTGTTTACCATTCTAAGTTGTATAACCCTTTCAGACCCAATATTTTTTCTCTTTCAGATTAAATATATTTTCGTGTTTTGGAGCCAAGCCATCTTGCCGGCACGCACGAGACTACTGCACCACCTAACCGCTAAAATGATTTCTTATTAGCTGGTTTAGAATCTCACTATCATGTTATTTCAGCTTCGTGCGTAAAAATGAATTGTGCGCAGTTTTAGATTTTTTTAAAGTTACAACTCACGCCTGTATCATTCAGGTCTGAAAGGGATAAAAAAAAAATATTTAGCAATGTATGAAGAACAAGTATAGCATAGTGGTTTATGCAATACATTATATTTGGCTAACTAATTATATAATTTCATAGAATAGCCACTGCAGGTATTTTGAAAGATAAAACAAAAAATGTATATTATTTAAATCATATTCAATTATTACAGTTACATTATTTATGTATATATTATTCATTGTGTATTAGTAAATATGATTAACTGTTCATCCTTAAGGTTGACTGGTAGAGAATACTACTAGCATTCACCTTAGATAGAGTCCACCTTTTGAACCATATTTTCTTTTGGTCAATAAAGTTACTTGAATAAAAACAATATTAAAAAAATTTGTTTAGTTCACATCTTACTTGTCGCAGTGTTTCACCTTCCTTCCATAAACCTTGTGGTAGCAATTTTTTCTTTTCTTTGCCCAGCTGAACATCAGTGACCAGTACTAAATGTCTCTGTAGACATCTATCTGGAGTATGCTTATCTCCTTTTTTATCAGCTTCTGAAAAATATAGATGTAGATATATGTTATTTTTTTATGCAACTTAAATTTAACTTATGTAAATTAGCCAAGTGTATATATATATATCAGATATAGATGGAACACCAAATTTTATCTCAATCTCTAAAATTAAAATTTGAAATTGATATTATATTGATTTGAATATCTTAAGGACTAGTATAATTTTTTTTAGTTGAAATAAAACTAGTTTACATTTAATTTTTGATGGTCTTAATCGATGATAATGGAATGGTAAATCTAGCTGGCAGACCAATTAGCCCAATGAGACAAATTTGTCATGAATTAACCAAGCTTGTTTCTAAGACCATTATAATGTATTATTATCCCCATAGTGTTCATCATGTTCAGTACCAGATTTAAGTAAAGGTTACATAGTGTGCCTTGCAGGGGCACCAAGACCTAAGAGGTGTGTTGAGTGTATTTCAACACACAACAGTTGCTTATGATATGTTATGCTAAACCTTTTCTTTTTTCAAAGTCAGGAAGAAAACCATCAAAAACTTGTCAAGAAGTATCAGATGATATAAGGCCAGCCCTGATCATATTTATAGGTAACTATTACCACTTCTCATTAGGTTACATCAGCTTGTTTGCCATTAAGTTACAAAAGTCTTATATTAAAGTAATATACCTGTTTCAATAGCTGCAAATTTGAATTTAGCTAATTCTTCATTAGCTGCATCTTCAAAGTCCTGAGCAGTAATTTTGCTAATAGTGTCCAAGTCAACATCAGCAGATTCATTCTTAAGAAGTTCTGCCTGAATCCTGAAATAAAAAAATATTGATATTTAAAAAAAATTATTCATAGTTTAACCAATCTAATAACAAAATCATTTTAAAGCCAATATCTTACTTATCATTTTCATGTCTAAGTTCATGATCTGACTTCAAACTTTTCTCAGTTTCTAAAGTATACAACATATCTTTATATTTTTTTTGCATTTCATTGAGTGGCGGTGTGACGACTGGTACCCTTTCAATGCACACTCCTGTAGCAATATCCCAAGACGGTTTACTACTAAAACCTGTAATGTATACAATGCACTAAAATTCATACAAAAACTAAGAAAAATATCAATATATATTTTTATAGGTACCTTTAGTAAACAATTTCGTACATAATTTTATTTCTGTACGTATTAATGCCTTAAACAACATGATTCACTTTATTTGTATTCTTAGGTTATAAAATTATTCTCATTTAAAAGGCCTTTGAAATGAAGAATAGCGTAGAGATTCAAATAAAAAGATTTATTATTATTAATTAATAAATACTAATTTAAAAAGACTTTTCAAAAAGATAATGAAATTATTTTAATTGAATAATGAAATAGAAACAATAGCAAAAGTAAAATCATCAGAGAGACAGAGAGAACTACAGAAGTGGCAGTAACATATGTCAGCTGATTGTCAATGGGGTCGGGTCAGAAGCGCCAGTCTCAACCTATCTTTAAAATTTCAATTTGATATTACAGCAGAATCTTTATTTTAAGGGTTAATATTAAATAAATTTCTAATAAATTTAAGCCCATATTATAATAGAAAAATTTAATATTGCTTTTCTTTGTTTTATAGATGTTAGAAAATTTTATCTAATATAACATAGCAAAAAAATAATTGTTTCATTATATGGTAACCTTGAATTATACACATAAAACAATACAAATTTTAAATACACAATTGAGAAAACGCGATATCAAAGCTTTTACTGTTTACCTGTAAAAGCTTTTACATCGCGTTAAGTCCCAATTACATATTAAAAATATGTGTAAACAACGCGAAAGTTTAAAATTAACTATAGAACAATACGTTATGCTAAATGTTAAATTATTGGTGGTTCCTAAAACCGTAATAAAGCGAAATTATCAAATTTAGGACTTGTTCTTAGCTAAGAATAAATGCATTACAAAACCATAAAATGGGGTGAATAAGGATAGGGGTGTAAATAGGGATAAAACCAGAATGAGATTTGGAGTAGAGAAAATAAATATTATTGTATTCATCTATGACTATTAGCTATTTTATCCAAAAGTGCAATATTTCATTTCCCATTTATTTATACTAAAACAATGTGAAATTTTATAGATTGGTATGAATATTATTTTCTAAATGGGTCGTTGTATTTTAATATTTTTTAGGCTTCTAAACTTACGGTATAATTCAACAAAATCAAATGTGTGTTTATTAAAACATGACATCACTATTAAAATATTTAATGGAGGTATTAAATATTTTAATAGTGATATCATTAAGGAGGTACTAATTTAGGTAAGTCAAGATTTTGTTTACTTTTAGTATAAAAACAAAATATTTATTTAAACCTCAATAATAATGGTAGATGTGTGAATAGGATCGGCTATGTAAGTAAATGGATACACCATTTTTTTGTAAATAGGAACTACTAAGAAGTTAATAAGAACGGTGAAGTTTATATTCGGACAGGGTTGTCATTTTACATATATGTTTTAATAATTTACCAATCTTTTCTCATTATGATAACAAGGGTTTACATATCTATCTTAGAAGAAGTAACTAGAACTATATTATCCGCATAAGGCAGATGGTTAACCACTAGATCTTCCATTCGTACTTCCACTATCACGATGCTCAATTTTTCGTAACATTTCCAGTTGACAGTAAGTAACCCTGTTTGGCACCAGTTAGATATCATATTTTAGGCAAACGTACTAAAATTCCTTATATACATGTACAACTCTGTTAAATACATTCTGAAAGTCCAAAACACTACAAAAAATCATATTTGACAATTAAAATCTTCTTACGATATTATTGAATACTTTATTCCCATATAAATAACCTAAAAGCCTGTGTGGCATTACTGGCCATCATAATATGCTTAATACAATATCATTTGACATCCCTATGCCTTTTTCCCTATTTATCCCGTTCAGGTCAGCTTTAATGTATTATCAATAGGGATAAGTAAATTTTATATAAATACCCAACTATTGCTTATTTTTTAAAATTTTGTATTTAATCGTATAGTTTGAACAATCGAAGATACTCAGAATGCGTAAAAAATGGCAATTTGTCTAACAAAATTTTGTAAATAAAGTGTAACATTTGATTTCGTACCTATTTACCCCCTTTAGGGTACTACTCAATGAATTGGTATTTGTTTAATGGCAACACTTTTCTGTCTTTTCGGTTCTTTGTGTCAAAGAAAGTAGGTGATTTTATTTTTAAATAATCTAATTAAATCGAATTCAATGCTGTATTTATAAATATATTGTTTATGTTTTCCGTTATGGAAAGTTAATTTTTGCATATCTTTAATGATATTTCCGTTATTTCTGTTTAGTTATAATAATAACAACTTGTCAAATATTTGATAGGTTAGGTCTCACAGTGTAAATTGTTTTTAGGCCTTACAATGAAGCAAATTGTGGCAAATCAAAAAGTGAAGATCCCTGAAGGTCTCACAGTCCATGTGAAATCGCGGTTGGTAACAGTGAAAGGTCCTCGAGGAGTTTTGAAGAGAAACTTCAAACACTTGGCTGTTGACATTCGCATGGTAAACCCTCGTTTACTTAAGGTAGAGAAATGGTTTGGCTCCAAGAAAGAACTCGCCGCTGTAAGAACAGTCTGTTCTCATGTCGAAAACATGATTAAAGGTAAATAAACGGTGCTTATATCTTATGTGTATGGGTTGTCGGTTGGGATTTTTTTTTACAGTATTTTACTGAGCTAGATGTAATTTTGCCGAAATTCATATCACTGGTTAGTCAATTAGACATAATTTGTAACCGCACACGTAACGTACTAATAGTAACACAATTAAAATAATTACAATCTTTTTGACAGTTTAATAGGACCTTTTTAAATTATTCCAATAATATCTGTATTGAAAATCAATAATATATTATTGTTCAATGGATGTTGGTGAATAATTGATGAAGTATTCATAAATAAATGTAATTGAATATATCTTAAAGCTACATCTGTTTTAATGAAAGAATCGGTCATGTGAAAGTGTGTAATATGTTTAGTACAGAATTACATTACAGTAATTAATTTATTTTTATCAATAACTAAAAATAGTGGAAAAAGTATGTACATTCTTAGATATGTTTGAGAAAATGAATTAATATGAAACAGAAAATATGTAGGTACATATTCTATGTAAATTTGGTAGCTTTATAAAAATAAATAAACAGAAGCTTTAATAAAGAGGGTTAACTTATTTTCCATAAATGAAATGGATGGAATAACTGTCACTACAAAGTGATGTTTGGAGAAAAATTGTATAATGGAAAATGTTGAGGTATATGCTATACATATTGATTCAGGAATATTGTAGGGATAACTAATAGTTATGAATATTTGTTCATACTGGTACTATAATTCATAAGAAATAAATTGGTAATTTGTTTTAATTGTGAACAAGTAAACATTATAAGACAGTTTTATTTAAGCATACATTTTGCAAACAAAATATTGTAATTGACAATTATAAAATTAGTTAAAAACTGTAATCCATCTTTATAATGACTGGTTTCTGTAAGTTGGCAATTGGTACTACTTTTGGATATAACCAGATTGTCTTATTTGTTTATATTTTCATAGTTTAATTGTAAACTGTATACAATAATACTAGCTATAAATCTAATTAGCTTAGATACCTACTTATAATATTTTTTATGTAATTTCAGGAGTAACATAGGGTTTCGAGTACAAGATGCGTGCTGTCTATGCTCACTTCCCCATCAACTGTGTCACATCTGAGAACAACACCGTCATTGAAATCCGTAACTTCTTGGGTGAAAAATACATCAGGAGAGTTAAAATGGCACCTGGCGTGACTGTAGTGAACTCTCCCAAACAGAAGGATGAGCTGATCATTGAAGGAAATTCCCTGGAGGATGTTTCTAGCTCTGCAGCTCTGATTCAACAGTCCACAACCGTCAAAAATAAGGATATCAGAAAATTCTTAGATGGTTTATATGTGTCTGAGAAAACAACGGTTGTGGTGGATGAGATATAAGCTTATTAAATAAGACAGTCAGAAACATTGTTTTATTTAACTCATTGACTATGCAATATGTTACTTCCTACCTACTTCTTACCTTTTAAGTGCTATCTTTGACTTCCATTTCATTACATAGAACATTTTGAGAATGTTTGTTACTCTTTGAAGTAAAAACTACTGAATGCATTTGAATGAAATTTGGTACACAGATAGGTTTTATCTTAATACAAAAGAAACTTTCTATACTGAGCTGCGTGGGTGAAACTGTAGAATACAGTTAATATTGTATTAAAGTTTAATAATAGTTTGAACTTATATTTTTGTTTACTTTATTACTGAAAAGCTAAACTTGTAACTTCTAAAATCCTGAATTAGAATACCTACCTATATGATGCTAATTACATCACATTTTAAGAATAGAGAATATTGTCAGATCCTATAATTTGTTATTAAATGGTTCAAATTTATTATAAAGATCACTGATGAAGATGTCGAAAACCATTATCATTAGTGTTTTTTAATGAAGTTCAAAAATTAAAACTATTGAAGGAGACTACAAAAGTTGTGCTTGGGTACTTCCGTCCCATACGTATTTTTGCCATGAAGTAGTTATTTGCATGGCTGTATTTCGGTTTGAAAGGTGGGATATAGCAATAAAATTACAGAGTACAAAAGCATAACATCTAGTCTTGGGCGAGAAAGAATTGTTAGTAATGCGGATTACTGGTCCTATTGCTAGCAATATGCCCTGTCAGGTCGACCTTCACGTGGCCCCCCCTATAAACCGTCGTGCTGAATTACAGATATATTCATCACAATGGGCTAAGTGACTTGTCTTTCCATTCATTTAATTAAATCGCATACATATATTATCTGTGAATTAAATACAGTTATGTCGTATAAATATATAGAACACTAATAAAAAAATTTAGCTAATTTGACAATTAGCTGACAGTTTAGTCTTCAGGAGTGGCACTGCGTGAAGTGTCATAAGCGACTATTATTTCCGTGGTATTGTTTATATGTAAAGACGACGGTTATCATTTTGCATCAGGTGAGCCATCAGCTTGTTTGCCATTTTAAATTGCATAAAGAAAATAATATTGAAAACATCATGCCCTAAAAAGCAGGAAAATATTCATATTTGAAATGATGTATAAACTATTGAATATTTATTACTTATTAAATAAAACGTTCTCTACCTACCGCGCAAGAGACTTGGCGTGAAGATAGGGTATATAAATAACTTACACATATATTTACATATTGGTAATGGAATGATTTATACAATTGGTATACACTGGCGAGGCACCAGTGAGTGATGGCAGGTGAAGATAAAATCAGGTCAGTTAGCCCAACGTGTCGAATTCTTGATTTCGACACGTTGGGTTTAGGCTCGATACACACTCGAAGAATTCTTAGTTCACGAAAATCAGTTATTTCATCATTATTTCAGCCGTCAACTGTCCATTGCCGAAGATAGGCTTCCCTCATAGACTGTCACAAGAAACAGTCCTACCTAAGCCATTTGCATCCATTAACTCCATGCAATGTATTCGAGTGTCGCTCCATCTGGTGTGGAGTCATCCTGCACTCTGTTTACCTTTATAGAGTATGGGGTGATTTGACTGTATTATTTACCAATAATATTTTAAAACTACAAGTATAGTATTACATTTTATAAATGTAATGCTATACTTGTAGTTTCTATATATACTATACTATAGGTACTTGTAATACTATACTTTTCTATCGTTGGAATAAATTGAACCTTCGAAAAAAGATCTCGATTTTATTTATAAAGTTATCCGGGGCGTGGAAATATGATAAGGTTTAAGGTACGTTAACAGAGAATACAGTATCTGGATTGCCCCTCTCATAATGATAGAATAGGAAGTTCCTAATAGGAACACTATAAAGATTATGAAAGAAACAACAATAGAATTTTCAACGTAAATAATTTTATTCAAACTATTCTATTGAACATCACTAACTCATAAACATTGTACATCTGCAAATATGGGTGAAGTTAAAAATGTGTTAAAAGATAACTAGGGGTTAAAAAGACATTAATTACACTAAATTACTTTACACAGATTAACACGCTCAATTAATTAAATAAAATACCTACTTAAACAATAAAATAAATAGCTATTAAAATAAACATTCTCATATCATTGTTAATACATCAGTAGAATCTTAATTAAAATAAATTTTATTTACTATTATTATTTACATAATAAAACTTTTGAAGGAATCACAACCAGCTACACTTTGTAATCTAATAGCCCAAAAATCAATAATTAAAAAAAAAGTTGGCCGTTTTAGCGCCGTCGAACAGCTCTTTGGTACATTGTCTTATGACTCGCCGACAAATCTAACGGGATAAATCCAGTGAAGATAGTCATGATTCCTCTATTTTCCAAATTGCCTACAGTATACCTGTATTTGTCATGTAAAATAAGTAAAAATATTTACGCTTGAATAAAATTAAGTACACGTTGATAACATACTGATGAGAGTAAATGTCATAAAACAACCTTTACATATCTTATGTTTCAGTACTGAGCAGTCAGGTATTCACAAATATATTGGGTACTGAACAATAAGTAGGCTGTAATATAGAAATAGAAAGAAGGTCGAACAATGAAAATAACTAAATATTTTATTAAATTGTGGGTACAGTCTTAGGATTTAGCATGTAGGTTGTTGGAGTGAAGAATAAATTATATAAAATGTAAAACGCCGACATACGAGCTCTATGTAAAAAGCTGACCTACTTTCTATTTCTATGACTGTAAAGGATGTTCACTAGCACTTTTCACAATACAATAAAATATGCATTAACGATAAAAGAAAACTAACAAACACGTCAGTTAACAGGCAATCTAAAAACATTAGATATCCATGCTTATCGCCATATTTGCAGATGGGCATCCTATTATTTCGTAAGAAAATAAAATTCTCAATAAATAAATGTCAAACACTATTTAATTGGTGAGACATTTCACACTATATAACACAATTGCTTACTATAAAAATGATCAACAAACAACTTGCACCTGACCTAATGTGTCAACGGGACATGGGTGTGCAAAATTTCATGAGATTCAATGTTTACAATACAGATTGCCGCTTGAGCAAATAATTCTGATTATGTACGTCTTAGCCTAGCCATGCGTGAGGTGGGATCGACTACACAGCGTCATAATATAAGTATACAACTAGTGGGTATATATAGCTTTAAACATCACCGGTGCACCGTGATTCGTCTCGTACAATAACTTCACTATTTGTATATTCTATTATAGTATAGTAAATTCTTAACGATGACGAATTCAAAATGTATCTAGCAACCTGAGTAAATTAACATGAATACCATTTTAAAAATTTATTCAATATACAATAAATTTACAGTTAATTGAAGCACAAATAGTGGATTTCGTAAAATAAATAATATATTTTAGATTATAATACATTGCATTTGACGAAACATTGCCGCTAGTTATTATACTCGCACGATAACATAAGCGTATAGTGTTCTACGGTGAAAGCTATCTAACAATAGTATTCTGCTCAACAAACAACTTTATGCACAAGTGAAAATTTACATTAATTTAGAAATATTAAATAATTTGTTATGCTAAATAAACTCGGATAAGATTTCAATAAGCAGTGATATAAGTCCGATGGCCAAACTATAGAATTAGGGGTGTCATAACGAGACGACTATCTAAAGCGTAGAGCGTCCGCCGGCGACGCCGGTTGCGGCGAACAATATTGCTTATACGGCGACGGGGCCTCGCGTCGCTGCTACGTTTATTGCTATACCGCATCGAGAAGACGCGGCCCCCAACTCCTTCTACTCTAACATTTGTGACCGAAACACACGGAGGGGTCCGACTTAGTTCCACTACCGTGGGACTCGTGTACGGAGACACCGAAGATTAACGTCAACGATCTACCAATGAAAAACGACTCCACAGGTGAAAGATCGTGGGTTAACTTGAGGCACTGTGTAGGTACTAGGTAAGTACGCGGGTGTAGGGCGAAGGGTGAGTACAGGGTCGGGGCGGGGCGAGGTGTGGTGGGTCAAGGCGGAGCGGGGATACTCAGAGAGGCTCTCGGCGAGGCACCCACACATTTGGCCCACTCTCCGCCGTTATAACCGCCTTCACCTTCGCGTAGATCTCTTCTGGAGTGTCGCCCGTCACCACCGCTGTCGGTGCAAACATTAGAATTGTTACATATTTTTTTGTTCATAACGAAAATATAGGTGGCATTCAATAGATATATGTATAGAGAGTACGGAATGAATAGAGAGTACACGAAACTTAATGATACTATTCAGAAAATTGGGCAACATTTCACATGGAACAAATTTTTTGAAATTCAAAAGGTAACCCAGTTAGTACAAGGAAGTGGCATCGTAATGATATATTAATTCAAGCATTAATAAAAGTTGTGCATTTTCGTACTTGATTTTATACAAAATATCCAATTGTTTATACTGACCAGTGAAATATTCAGCAAATTCCTGTTCCATTTTTAATGCACGTTCATATGTTTTCTTCGCTTGTTCTTCAGTCATTCTCTTATTCATTTCCCTATATATAAAAATAAAGTGTATGTAGTAAAAGTAAACAAGTATGTGGATTGAAACAGAAATGAATGTATAAAATATACTTACATTATAGATTCTACACTCTTTGGTTTAATAAATATGGCAATAGGATAAAGTTGCGCCACCTGTAACCTCTTTATAGCATTACCGCTCACGTCCAAAATGCAATGTTTGCCCTGAAAAATTAACGAACAATATTATTTGCGGAAAAAATATGAATACATGTACTTATAGAATACTAAATATATAATATTGTTAATATATTTATTTTTATTGTTAGGAAAAAGTATCATAATTTTATTTGAAACGGTTATTGTTATTAGGCGTGGTTACTCTACTGGCAAGACCACTCAAGGGGGAGGCCTATGTTCAGCAGTAGTCAGTTACCGGCTGATATGATGTTGGTGGTTATTGTTATTAATGGCATAAGGAAAATAAGTTTTTATCATACATCAGTACAAGGTAAGTACATACCTATTATTACGTAGTGCCGTTGGTAAGATACAGGTTGTCATTTTTATAATATTAATAAAAAAAATTAACACCCTATTATACTAACAATAGTTTCAAGGAATTGACTTCGTTAATTAACATTCTGTGCATAAAATTAATTTATAATAAGAATATTCTAACTAAGCGTATTCGTTAGTAATCTATTACTTTTAACAGATTTCAAAAAGAAGGTTCTCAATTTGGTAGTACTATTTTCATGTCTATTACCTCATAACTTCATTAGTTGTAAACCGATTTGGAAATTTCTTTTTATCTGGATTAAGAATTTTTTTATACAACTTAGAATGGCAAACAAGCTGACGGCCCATCTGATGGAAAAGGGTAACCGTCGCCTATAGACATGAGCAGTACCATGAACATAACAGATTATACTGTTTCGCTCATGATACCCCCCATGCGTTGCCATTCCTGAGGACTCAGGTGTTATTCTTCTGTACCCAGTAAATTTATATACTTACAAATTGGTCCCATAGAAATTTTAACAAAATCGGTTTAGTAGTTTAGTTATTGATGAATGAGAATGGAAAGAGTACTAAACACTATGAACATTTTGTATTTAAAAACAATCATTTTTACTTAACTATTTTCCCCAGCACTTGTTATTTAACAAAGTGTAAATTAACCACTAGTTAGGTTGCAATAAAGGATGACAGTAATACCTTCTCGGCGACCTCCCGTACGGAGGCGACGGAGGTACCATATAGATTGTCGTTATACTGGCCGGCTTCGATGAACAGATGGTTCTGTATGTCGCGCTCCATCTGCTCGCGACTTGCTACGAAGTGGTAGTCGCGCCCGTCCACCTCGTAGTCACGGCGGGGTCGCGTCGTGTCTGTTAAATAATTTACAATTAATGAAATAATTTATAAATAATGAAGATAATAATAGGTACTTTGACTCATTTATGTAAATTTGACTAATTTCTAAATACCTTCTAACTGACATAAAATAGTTGTAGACATTTTTCTAACTTACCTATCTCCTTTTTTATATTACATAGAGATAGAGAAACAATGTTTACAATAATATATTAAGAATTTATATCAAAATCAATTAATTTACTTTTTGGTTTCATCATATTTATAATAAATTTAAAATTAAGACGTTTTCTACGTTCCACGCAAAATTTTGTTCTTATTAGTTAGGAGTTATAACTTTTCTGTACGAAAGTGACGTTGCATAACTTGCATAGATACAGTTGATGTGTGCGTACATTCTTAAGATATATGCATACATTACATACACAGTATACAGGGCTATCTTTAAAATTCACTAAACGGTACAGGTAGCCCATGCATCAATTTTCACAGGTAACAATTCAATCTATGTCATTTTTAAAAAGATCAAGGAAAGGATTACTTTTCATGATTCCTTTTTACGATTTTGATAGATTAAGGTTAACTAAAACAATTAAAGCAAAATTTACAAGAATTCAAAACAATAAAACGTAATAAGTTTGTATAAATAGATTGCTTGGATATATAAAGATTAAAATAAAACCGGACAGGTGGGAGTTGAACTCACATGTAGAGAGTTTCGTATTTTCACGAGACAGATTTTTTTTTAAACCACAAAGTTGGCAAACAAGCTATCTGATGGTAAATGATCACTGTAACCTATGATCGCCTGCACGTAACAACTAGGGTTGTTACGTGCGCGTTGCCGATCCTGAAGAAACTTTAATTATACCCTTTTTGAAGAACTCCATACTGTATTCAACTATATAGCATAAAAATAAATAAAAATTCGTTTCAAAGCGTACAAATGAGTCTTTTCATCTGATATCCCACTTGTACTAGTAAAACCAATGGAAATTGTTTTCAATTATTTCTATTGCAATATGTGTGTGTCTACTAAATGTTAAACTATTTCAAACCGTTAGTATTAGTAGTTATTGAGATATAGCGCTGTGACAGACGGACAAAGTCGCAACATATAGGTTTTTTAGTACCTTTATGGTACGGAACTCTAATTATATCTATTTAAGTTAAAATATAGAATTTTCATGCGATACTTACGAGGTACGCAGCTTCCAAACTTATCGGGGAACTCTGATATCAGATCGTCGTTTATTCTGTCTTTTAGCGGCCCGAGTATGATCACGGGTCGAGTGTAACTAATAGTTAACTGTTGAACTGTCTCATACGACAGCACCGTCTCATCTTGACCTGTAAAACATAATATTTAGATACACACCACTCCTGTTTTTGTTAACAAAGCCTAGACACCAAATTTAAAAAAAAAAGCTATACATATTCCTAAATTTTATGCATCCTTATGCCCATATTCTTTATTCGAGTTCAAAATATAAATATATTTATATTTCTGAGTTCAGATTCAATTATGTACAATTAATTACTTTCATGAAATGATCATATTTTTTTACAATAAAAATAATTCTGTAATAAATGAACCATTATCCCATTTCAATGCATTCATTTGCGGTGAATATTGGTTAATATTACAAATTGTGCTATGCGTGCTCTCTATTTTCGGCGTGCAATACCTACAGCATGAGTGTCTTGACTTTACCCTTGGTGATCTGATCTTTATGAGATGAGTCAAGTCACTTCGGTCATCAACTGATGATTGTAGGACGTTACAGACTTTATAAGCGCAATAATTTACTAATATAAATTAGGTATTCTATGTAATAGCTATGGTCCATTATTGAAATACTTTGTACTGCAAGTACATTTTTAGATTTCATTTATATAAAAGTCATTTACAACTAATATATACTTTTTAAAGAACAAGTTAAAGAAAAATTACATAAACACCTATCGAAACATTACGTAAATAAATTACATGCTTCTGTACATATTACGGCAAATATGAATAAAACGTCAATCTTAAAAAATATAGCCAGAATTAAATAGTATATTATATTAATGAAATAACATACAATACTCAATTTCTAATGCTAACATGCTAACAACACTAGTGAGCCATCAACTTTTGAGATTTTTAATTCTGGCTCATACATTGTCATGAATGATGCCTTTAACAAGGTATACTAATAAGCGAATATACACATTATGTAATCAACAATATGTCAGCGACTGCAAGGCTAGTAAAAAAATTACAGCATCCCTAACATCTGAAGCAAAATCTAATTTTAAAAAGAAACCAGCACAGCGTAATTCTGAAAACGTAAATCAAGCTCAAATGAAGTATGTCGTGAGGTCGAATCTTACATCTGAACATGCTCGTGACTAGTGACGTAGTGTGTAACTAAAGGCAAAGCGCGCGGACGCGTGCGTAGTTGCGACATGCGCGGCGCCCGAAGCGTCAGCTACGAGTAGTGTGAGAGAGCGGCGGTGGCTCTCGTGTCCTCGTGTGCTTCCAGTGGCCCCGCAGCCCCACCCGCCCCGCCTGACCCACCCCGCTCGCGGGCCCAGATGGGACTCGTCGCGACGCTAACTGTGCGCGGGTCGCGGTCTGCGGACCGTGGACCGGTGAGCGCGGAGTGATAGTACAATTTTGAAACATGATCCAAACATTTTCGTGATCTCGGATGATAATATTCGAGTGCGGAGAGGCTATTAGAATCATCGCGTTGTATGAATTAAAACAATTGAACATAAAGGAAGTATGACAAATAATAAAAAAAAAACTGGAGTGTTATTGAAATGAAAACTACATTTCTAATTGATGATCATAACCAGAATGCGGGAGGTAAGGTATCGGCTACGGCACTCGCAAGCTACGCCTCACTCCCAAAACTTACTCTCGTCCTCGAGATAAATGAGCGTTATCTCCTCCATCATGGGAAGTTCCACTCGGTACAAGATTTCCCCTACACGTAGAAAAATTAACGTTACACAAGTTTATCACAAGGTGTGCAATATGAAAAATGTCCGCACCATGGACACGGGACTGGAATGGGTGAACCACTAATTTGACAGAAGCCAATATCAAAACTAACAGGGATTATAACACTGCCGGCAGTAATTACGTAGTCACTGTAGAATGTAATTAATTAGCAGCGTCATGAGTAGGTAGCGTTTAGGAACATAAAGAGCAAATAAAAATACGTTATCATGAATGTTAACATGTATGTTGGCTCCGGTTAGGCAACTAGAAGCACGGGACGGCGGCCGAACGTGTCTCAAACCAATCCGTGTGCTCGCTGCGACCCATTCTGTTTCAACATAGACTACATGTGGAACACCGAATCGTATCGTCTAAGCCATCGCTTCACCATACAACTGTGTTTAATAAATATTGAAATAATTTTTATTGCAATTATAAAAGGAGATAAATTATTATATGTAAAAATTAAATACAGTATTATAGAGATTTCGATTTCGATCTCTCAAATATACAAATATACTTCAATGCTAATGAAATACATTTTTCAAATAACGTTATTGTATTAAGAAGCCCAGCCAATTAAGAGTCACTATAATACGATCTCTTGACAACAATTGTGGTATTTCATTATTATCGTTTAAAAACGACTTTAGTAAACTAAAGACATCACTTAAAAATTTAATTAATAATTATACGTATTAACAATATGTACAAGATCTACTCGTATAAATAATATCATTACAATTAAAAACCACTGCATGACATTTTTAAAGTTAATATGTCACCATCACCATTCATAATTTATTTTTTGTATTACATAAAATTATAATAATGAAAAACCCGAATATATAACAATATATCCAGATGTTATGCGTCTTAGTATGGACGGCGTCTTAATATATTGTAGATTTTTACATACTTGAAAAATAAACACAGTTCTGTAGCAAAGCAGCTGTCGATTAAAATTAAGGCTATCTAACACACAAAACGTAATGAGTACATAGCTTGTCATTGGGTCGCCTACAACATCATATTCGACAAGCGACAATAATAACTTATGCCGATACTGTAAATTATTGCTAAACCTATTGTATAGGCATCACCATGCTTCTCCATAAACACTACAAGCGATAATTTACTCACACAAATCCGGTATTTGAATAACAATATAATAGTAAAGAATGTGTGTAAAAATATATAAACTCAGTCTCCTAGTTTTATTTTTTTTTTTCTTAGTCATTGGATTCTGTGATCCTGTTGTTTTGGTATAAGATTACATAAGACGATATTTTCGTAATGCAGACAACAATAGTTGTTTTATTTTGTGCCAGCACATAGACAGCACAATATTAAGTTCATTTATGTTTATATTTAAAACGATTTCTCATTTTTTTCATTTCAATGTTTGAATTATATCCATTTCATTTCATAATCATCATATTATGAAATTGAACAAAGTGTCTGTCAAGTTTCTTAGTTACTAATACAACAGGAACATATGTATATATAATAGTAATAATAATACATAAACCCTTCTTATTTTTATTATGGTAAAATAGTATTGTGGTTAGAATAAGCAAATAGCTCCATATAAAGAACCTAACTTTGAATACAGTGGTTATTGGCAGCCGCATGAAAAAAAACTGCGTAATGACCTACATACGAACAGCAAAGTAGCGAATGTAATAAGTATGTATATAAATATATTGTGCACTTACCATCCGCATTAGAATCCTCCTGAGTGTAGCAAAGCATGAAAGCTGTAACAAAATTAATTGTATAAATCTGTTTCACGCGGTGGTAAAGCAAACTTGTGAATTATTTCCGAAACAGTATTGACACTTTAATTTTAATACCCATAGTATATAATATAAAATAATAAATTATAATATGAGCATATTACAGATATTTAATTAGTATTTTTTTAGTCACAGTCCATATATGTATAGCGATATGGAATAACTTTGGTGTAAAGCATACAGGTATGAGCGTGTTTCTAATCAATATAACTTACGTTCTTGATCTGAACCATCCTCTGATTTGCCATCTTCTCGACTCTTCATGAAGGGGAATTTTCTGCTGAATGATAGCGTTTTCTTTTTTCTTTCTAAAGTTGATTGACTCTGTAAAAAATGTATTGGAAATACAATTTCATATCATTTCAAATTAGGGTCACAGATATAAATATTTTATATCTTATTTAGAAGAAATTATATTTTACTTAAATTACTGACGTAAGTATTGATATATTGGCTAATGAATAAAATATAATAACAAAATGGATTTATAGGACGTTTGCAAATACTGGTTTGCTAGATATGGACCATTGATTTTATAATAATTGTAACAATATTCTTTTTGAATGTTTATGATTCAAAATTGTATAAAAGAAATCCCATGAAAGTTGAGTTTGTAAAAGTGTTTGGATATTTGTAACATTTAAATGGTTGGGCGAGTTTTAATGAATTTTTATATATGAATAAACCATATTCTAGATATATGAATAAGTCATATTCTTGATATATGAATTAACACTATCTGTTAAGATAGCATATTTTTTATCTTAATTCACGAAGGTTAAGCCACTAATAACGCAACTTTTAAAATATTTGTAGTGTAGTATTATCTAATTTTTTATAATTGTTACTTCTACTACTTCATACTGTATAATTACGTTAAAGTAAATGCTGTGAATACCTTTAATAGGCATGTGCATTAATATTGTATTTAATGTTTGTTATATGTGTTATAATGCAATATGCTGTTGGTATTCCTTTAAATAAATAAATACCGTTGAAATAGGTGTCCCCTGTCCTTGGAATTTGACTTGTCGGTCGCGTGCGCGCTGCTTCCGTTCCCAGCGCCGCTTCGATGGAATTATGCCGATTGCGTCTGAGTCCGTCTTGTCTAGCCGCCTGTAATTAAAAAAAAAAAGTTAGGCCAGATAATAATATAACCGGAGTCTAAAATGCTAAAAACTAATTGGCAGTTTGATTATATTTTTAAATTATGACTTTCAGTAAAAAGACAACGCTGAATTTTTGCTCATATCAGAGTTAGAAAAGAATCCATAGTATTTACAGACATTTTGCAGAAGCAATGGTCAGTTTGCAATTACAGACAAAATAGATTGTCATTTTGATTGATGATACAAATGAAAGTATTTTTATTTTCAGTTGATAACAATTGGTCCCTAATATGAAATAAAAAAATAATAATAAAATTATTTTTTGAGCCCATCAACTGCCACAAGAATTTGTGTGAATCCCATATTGAATTATACAGGAACTGAATTCTAATTCTTAATAATAATACTCGAAATAGTAGGATTAAGTATGAAATAGTTATAAAGTATTTCATAGTACCTTGCCTGCCACCACTCGTCGTCAGATGCATTGGTAACATGAAGAATATCGCCGTAGCGGAATGGTAGCCCCCGGGAAGGTAATCCGTCATCCTTCACAGGGTCGTAATCAAATAGTGCTCTGTGAATAGAATAATCATTTGTAAGACAATAAATCTTAGAACACAGGTATAATGTAGTTTAAAACGTATTAGAAAACATTTAAAAAGCAAACCTTGTGAACAAAATTATTAAAACCATTTTCATTGCCTAAAATTTATAACATGTAACATGGTGGTTATATCAGAAATTGTTTATTACAGAATAAATAATAACGTAGGAGGGGGTTGTTATTAATGGGTATTAGTTTCTGATAAGACAATATTACCAATGGTGGCTCCATTGGTAACAATATATTCATGTCAGATTAAACTTCACAGAGGCGTCCCTGGAAAGCATCATGGTTAATTCCTAGTGAATTGGTCATGATAAACCAATTGCTCTGACATCAGCCCCGATAACTAGTACCCTAACAACGAATTTTCTATATTTATTCCATTTTTATCCCATAAAGAATATAAATGATGTACAAGATAGAAAACTTTTCCCACTGATAATATTTCTTCAATGGTGTAACTGGGAACATGTTTAATCTTGAGATTTGAATTTTATTCGATAAGAATTTAAAACTTCAAGAAGAAAAGTTCTAAATTTGGTTATTTTTTTTTTTTTTAATGTTTGTTACCTTTTAATTCCATCAATTGTAAACCAATTTGAAAAATTATTTTTTTTATCTGAAAGGATATAATAGATTACAGATTGGTCTTATAGAATTTTATCAAAAATGTCACAATTGAAATCAGTATTTTTTGTGGAACATAATTTAATGATTTCAATCTTCTTCTACATCAAAATAATTTATTTGAGAAACATATATTTAGTAACAAGATCATATTACAAAACATTTAAAAATCACTCTACATACCTTACATATAAAGATCGTTTTTGTGACGTCCTTAAAAGAGTATGGTGCTGTTTGAGTTCATTGATACGAGCTTCGAATTTGTTGTATTCTTGAGGCCTGTATACTACTGTTAACTTCACTTGCTGTCCTGTGCCCTGTATACAATATTGAATAATTAATGGACGTATTTATATTATCCAATAAATTTACATTTAACTGAATAATTAGACTTCAATTGAATTATTATTCTTAAACTCAACTTTGGGATGAGTCCTAATTTCATTTAATATTTAAACATAATTTTAATGAGTGACGCATATTCATGAGCTTCTATCTTTAATATTGACTATCAATTTAGTCTAATCATAATACAAATATCATTTGAATGAATCATTCATTCAACATTAGTATTGACTACAAATTGAACCTAATTCGTAATTGAAATACCTTTCGAATGAGTCATTCACGTGTACTACTTCCCTTTTTTGATAGATATTGATGGTAGTCGGTTATAAATGCGTACATAATTTGATTGACACTAATTGCTAGCTACTACCAAAAGGAGGTTGTAAATTTGTTTATAGCATTAATGTAGTTTTGTCTGTGTTACAACATTACGTGATATGTTAATTCTGAACCGATTTGATTTTTTTTTGCAATGAATAAGGTTTACTCTCGTGTCAGTGCAATATTAATATTCCTTGGATTGAACAAATCAAATTCATAGAAGTAAACATGGTAAAGCTGTTTCCTGCCGGCGTTATTTATTCTTGGCGAGACGTGGACACGTATGTTACGTTCAGCTCATTAGCAACAGTCAACATACTGCTCTGAATTATAGTTATCTTGTTTATTTTAATAATTATTTCATCAATACTTAATATGCAGTAAAAAGTTCAATTGATTATTACCTTACACCATCAGTTATTTTTAACATTTATCTATAATTCACTGGTAGATAATGACATATGGTGTTAAGTCTGTCTTTTACATTGAGTAGGCGTATTAAACTTTAATAATAAATACATATACAAGTACCTTGAGAGCCTTGGCGGCTTGTTCATGCGTGGCGTGTGTAATGTCAATATCGTTGACGGCGAGTAGGCGGTCGCCGCGGCGCAGTTCGCCGGATCGCTCGGCTGGTCCGCCGGCGAGTAGGAACGACACGTAAATGCCGTGTCCATCTTCACCACCGACGATGTTGAACCCGAGACCAGCGCTGCCCTTCTCTAGTTCAACCACGCGTGGTTCTTCTGCACTGTCCGCACTTTCCGCTCGTTCTGTTCGCTCGGCGCCTTCTTCTCGCCGCAGTGAATTCGCGGTGCTTGAGGCTGTGGTTTTATAATGAATAATTAGTAATTAATAATCGGTATAATAAAACCGGAAATTGGCTGTTTTTAGAAGCAAGGTAAAGAATAAGAATATGTTACGAGAGTATGCTGTATTGTAGCTAAATGACTCATACCAACATGATAGTTAGTGCTAAAAACAGACATTTGTTTTAGTTAACGAACAAAATGTTTACAGAATTGGAGTCCAACATCGAAATTAATGAGATGTTGTGAAACAATTTAACGGATCATAAATACTACTGCAACAACATATGGACATGCATTGCATAGTAAATTTTGAAAGCACTACAATTTGCAAAATCCGTTGTTTTGCAAGAATTTATTAATACCTGGATTTATATTAATTTTTAAGTTCACCAAGACTATGAGTGTAAGAAACACACACATAATAAAATTTAAAGTTTAGGTAAGTAATAATTCTAACAATGTTTGGACATCAGAACTAGTGGATCAATAATTCCACCCATGTAAATGTATTAATTCTTTGACAGTACGCCCTCAGTGCGAAAGACTTATTAAACTCGACTAGTTATGAAAAGCAAAACATTTTATAATTCGTTTAACCTTCCAGAGCTGCCTAGCAGTTCTGACTAATCGACAGAAAACAAATGTCAGTGTCTACAAATTCTAGCTAAATATTTGCGTCAGCGTCATTCCTTATTGAGCAAGAAAGACCCGATAGAATTAGTAATTCTAGCAAAATATTTGGACAGGTCGGATAGGGCCAGAAGTATGTGATACTGACGTGTGTTTGCGCGTGATGTCCGTGGCGACGGCTGCCCGTGCCTAGGTCCGGGGACGAGCCGAAGTTGTACGCGCTCGCCAGCCGCCTTCAGAGCGCTGACAGCTTCTTCATGAGTCACATTGTCTAACTCCACATCGCCACGCTACAGAACAATAATTTCTAATTTAGGGCATTTATTAAATTAATACCATAAATTAGTTGACAAGACAAATGGAATTTTGTTTAAATTGTAATTTTTAAAATCTTCATTAAAACTATTACGAAAATAAAAATAAAAACACACAGTCTAGCTTTCTCAAATAATGCACAAATCACATTTAAATTATTAAAATATATTTGAAATAAATCATTACACAAAGAAACCAAATATAAGATGGACACTCAAGATACTTTTATTCAATTTTAAAGCTAATATCACAGTTGATGGCGGTGGAATAAATAATAATAAAAAAGAAATACAAATTAAATTTCAATCTTCCTGAACAATCTCACAGTTTGTTCAACTTCTCCTTTTGATGTGTATGTGGCCAAGATTTATAAGAGCGGTTTTTCCGAATTCGTTTTTTTACGAATTCGTAATGTGCACCAAAAAACCGCTCTTCAAAATTCAGTTAAATCAGATTTAATGTCACCCGAAATTTTTAGTCTTCAAATAACTCTCATTGAAATATTTTAATTTTTTTTTGCAATTGTCATTTTTTACTTGCAAACTAAGACAATACCTACAAATTTGTGTCAAGGTGACAAACAAATAGGAATGCTGGTTTCACTATTTTTGTTTTGTCAAAACCAGTTCCTAGCATATTAATAAGGTATTAATAGTTGTTTTATATTGATTCATTTCACTAATTCCACATCAAATACATCACACCAAAAAATATCATCTTCTACCGAACCATAATTCTAATATTAGTCATTTAGTATGAATTCTTGTCTCTAAGAACCAAATGTCTAAGGCAATATTTTGAGCTCTTATTATTTTTCAACAGAATGCTACCCCCTTTATTAACAAACGTAACCCCCTGGTTAAGAAATGATGCTCTAAGGACACAATTTTGAACACAGATAAAGGAAAATTTATTCTTTTTATTTAGGCTGTGATGTGAGCAAATCCTGTTATTTAAGGTAATTATAAAGCAACATGCTTATACACTGTGGTACTAAGTAATTAATATTAAAGTACTTACAGAGGTATTTTTGACCATGAGTAATTTGTCTCCAACTCTCAAACGGCCATCTCTATGCGCAGCGCCTCCAGCCATAATTTTCGTTACATAGATACCATTGTCTCCAGGAATATGCTGGTTGCCGAGACCACCTGCTATACTGAAACCTAGACCAGAGCCACCTTTCACAAGTTCTATTTCAACTGCTTCCTCTTTGTTTGTTATTTGTGATACATTTAAGGTGTCTTCAGTTCCACGACGTCTCACTTTCTGCAAATAAAATTGTGACAATGATCATTATATCGTCATCATGATTATTTATAAATCTGAAAGTTTGTAGATTCGGACGTTATTTAAATACATTTGATTGAAATTACATAGATGGACCACATCCTGGGTGCTTTTTAATCTTGATAGACGGTGGGGTGAAGTCGTGGTTTTGAGCTAGTATATACAAAAGTGTCTATCATGAAATCACTGATAAAAAATAGGAATAAAACTCAGTGATTTTTTATTCTTTTTTATTAAACAGAAAGGAAAAAATATTATTAATTTATTTATCATTTTAGAAAAAAATATATTTAAGCATTACTTAGAAATAATTATTTATTTTCATGAGGTGACAGTAAAAATTATGTTTACACACTTTTATTTTCAGGATGAGACGATTACGAAGGAAAAATAGCTCTATCATGCAGACTGAACAGTGGAATGGTAAGGCCAGCAGTGGGCTTTTATAGTTTATTATTAATTTATACTTACCAGTCTTACTGTGTTTCCTGCTTTCTTTAATGCATCAACTGCCTCGGCGTGCGTAACTTGTTCTACATTCGTGTCATTAACCTGGTAGGTAATATAATTTAAATATAAATGACCTTGATTAATACAAATAGAAATACAATGTTATAGTTATGCGAAATCGATTTACCAGTTTGTTTATAATAATAATTTCAAACAGAGATAGTTCAGATTGCTAATAATTTGAAATGTTAAATATTGATGATTGACTCTATCGTGCCTAGTTATGTACATTATATTTTAATATTAAATATTTGTAATGCAGTGATATATACTATGCTTTGATTCCCATAACGAAAACTGCAACGGTATCATTAATGACTAGGTCATTGAAAGCATATTCTCATCCTTGAATGGTGCCGATTCAAAAGTCGGTCAATCGTAATGTCATCAAATTCTTTTCGAATTAAACATATAATTTAAATAATTGTGCATAATTTAACAATACTTACTAATAATATGTTACGTTAATGTAATATTAATTTTCAGACATTATTAACCCAAGTACCTACTTTAAAAGAAATAATTGGAAAAAATTTGTTCTGTTGACAAATCAATAATTTAAGTAAGATTTTAGACTCCAAATTCAGTTTAGGCTATTTAAAACATCACATAATAAAAAAGGTTGTAACACGCAAGACCCCTTTAAAAAATCCATCAATATTTGAACGGTTTGTTTTTACAAGGCCACTGGTGTCCAGATTTAAATAATGTAAACACACCTGTAATATGGCGTCGTTAATTTGCAGCTGACTAGCGGCGGCCGCCCCGCCTGGTATTAGCTTAGTGACGTAGATGTGGGGGTCGTCGGCTACGTGCGGGTTGTCGGAGCCCCCGGCGATGCTGAACCCGAGCCCGGCGCCGCCTGCCCGCGATAGCACCACGTTCATGTATGTGTAACCCTCCTCCTGTGTGCGTTCAGTGCCACCCCCCTCAATGCCATTTACCTGTAACTTTCATATATGTACAATTACAATATTATTTTCATGAATATTATAAATATTTTGAATACATTATGTACTGATTATGTTGAATAACATTCTGTATATTTCCTTTTTATCATTATCTCAGTCTTGGCGCCTTAACAACTCAACCACAATCATGAAATTTGGCATAGACATAGAATTTGAGATGGGGAGACTCAGATTACTTTAATCACAGTAAATCAATAAATTCTTGTGGGATAGCTAATTCCAAAGGAATAATACAATATTATATGAGCAAAGTTATTACACCTGATTGTTAGTAATAGGAACTAATGGCTCCATTGCTAAGAATATGCCCTTCTATAAGGTTGACCTCCATGTGAACCCTTTTGAAAATTGACATTAATACATTCATTACATTAGGCCAACTAAAGTCTCATTTTCATTCCATTCTCAACCCTGATTGCACACACCCTCTCCCCCCTCTCCCACCAGTAATGTAAGCAAGGTTACCATTCCATTTTCATCCATTAATAATGACTAGTATTTACAAATTCATCTGTATATGCAAACCTAGACAGTGAGATATGTTTTATTATGGGAATATAGCATATTTAACTGAAGTAGAAGGTACTTACTAACTATGATATGCTTACTTAGAAACAAGTATAATTATTATAAATTAAAAAAAAAAATAGAAATATCCTTATAAGGACAGAAAAAGAATGGCCTTGAATTTTATATCCTTAATAATGTCTATTATTAATAGAAATAAAAGCTAATATTGATACTGATTTGCAAATTAATGATTATCAAAAACTATTAAACAGTACAATGAATTATCTGGTATGTTGATCATTTAACTAGTCAATATATACATTACAAAACAATCAATTCAAATTTAATTCATTTTCAAAAAAACAAAGTAATAATTCATTGTTATTAAAATGGAGGATGTCATTAAATTAGGTATGAATCAATTTGAAATGAGTCAAAAGAACCATTTAACCAATCCCATATAAATATATAATACATTTTGATCATATTAATAAACTCCAAAAATGTACATAAGATATGAACAAAGATTAGTAATCCCAACAGGCATCCATAAATCTGAGTTGGTAAATTTTAGTGTCAATTAACATGTTATTATGAAAATATAAACAATTTTATTACATAAAAATAATTTCCATATTTTACATAAATAATGATGTCATACAATAAAAATGTAATATCTACGAAAATAACTATAATCGAGTGATGTATATAAACAAATTTACTTAGTTGTCTACATTTAACTGTCACTATGGTAAAATCATAAATAAATAATGTAAATTTTCCTTGACATGGATATAGAAAATGTTTCATATAAAGGAATATAGTATCTATTATATTAGACATACCTGCTTCATTTCAGGTGATGTAATGTGAGCCTGAAAAGTAATAACAAACAAGTTAACCACATTTAACTAAATGGGATAACACAACTTTATCTAGAAATCCATTAGTCTACCATTTTTAACTAAGTGGATTTAAATCACTTCTAAATTTTTAATATGTCCATCACAGATTGTGGTAGAAATTTTCACATAGTACATAATCAACAAATATATCAATATAGATATTTTAAGATACATTAATGTAAATGTTAGATTATTTTTAGTGAATAAATAGCAATATAAAAGTTCCTTATTTACATCTGAGTAACAATGGTGAAATTCCACCTGATACTTTATTACATGACCCACATTTATGAACGGGAAATGTACCACCGACTTACCGTTTCAAGATTAAATAAGGAGGACACTTTGCGTAGGAATCCATTGTGAGTTTTTTTCTTCCGTCTTTCTGTCATTTTGGTGAGCCAGAGTGCATAGCCTTCAGGTACTTATGCTGTTGTCCTTATTATACTATGTACACTTCATGCATTGTTAGTTACACACTGGTGTCCATTGTCAGCACCTTACTTGACGATGTTCTGCATGCACCATTCTCTACCTAGAACCCATTTCTAACTTGCACCAAAACAATTCAACACAAGTGACCTCTTTTAGATGTATTCGCGTATACTTGTCGCGTTACCGAGTTTTCCCATAAAATAAGCCTAATAATCATGTTAGCTTAATTAAAAATTACAGCAATCCTTATCTAATGAATGTAACAATTGGAGCCGAGCCCTTTTCTGATAGCGAGTTTTAGTAGATACATGTATGGCTGGGTAATTATTAGGCATGTTACCAACTTGTGTTCGATGATAGGATGGTATGAATGTCAAAGCGATGAACTTTAATTAAAATGTCCGTGTTACGTTATTAGTGTGCAATAAGTTGAATGGGCAATATTATAGGTAGGTAGAATCATCAGCTAGTAACAGAGCAGATTGTTACAAGCAAAACTAACTCAGAAGTCGCATTAGTCTCACCAAGAATCAGTATCGTTCCCAAAGTGTAAAGAAATTACTAAACGTTTAAAAATAGATTAGTGTTTATTAAATGGCCTTACTTGCGACGAATACGAATTATCAGCAGTGTGAATGTCAAAATTTTGTGTGCAATATCATTTCACTGAATATCATCTACGAGGAGTATACTCTCAGCCGATGTAGTGTTCGTACGTCATTGGCACAATTGTGATATATAACGGCACCAATTCACACAACGAAGAAACGTTAGCGTACATATCGCCGAAAACTTGTACTATATTTTAGGTTATAAATAGTACTACGAGACGCGAAACACCAACCATCCGCCATTACCGACCACTTGTTGTATGTAGCGTTCACAAACCCACCTTCGTTCACAGACGTCACGTCATCAAAGTGAAAAAAAAAACTTTTGTTGAGTACGTTCCTGTGTTCCTGTACATTCGGTTCGATTTGTTAGCTGTAATTTGAAGTTACACCGCAAGATGGCTCTGATTGGTGTTAAAAATATAAACAAAGTAGATACGTAGATAGATTCATAATAGATAATTATAGATATTTTTTATTTGTGTATTGTATAATAGGTAAGGGTAATACTCAATACACAAATAAAACTAATTATCTATTGATCGAATTCTGGTGAGTTCACTAAATATATTTGCGTTATATATATTCGTGGTATAACTGAACCCACTACTACACTACACATTCGGTTCAGATAGCTGATAAATAGCAGATAATCTCGTCGGATCAAGCTATTGGAAGATAAAATTATTCAACATTTTAACCTATATCATTTAATTCAATAAACTATTATTGGATCCTTATGGTTATTTTTATTATCAGGGAGCCTTAGCTTTTTTCCCAAGAGGGGAATACTCGTTATTTACTACGGTATATATATTTCTTATTTTTTTAGAGTAAATTAAAATTCTAATTTTTTTGACGTTGATGAGGAGCGTTAACACCAGACAGGCGGCCAGTTGTAAAATCAAACCTTCTGCAATATTATTATGTATAAAAGCGTATTACGCCCACCTCAACTAATTGTGATAAGGTCAGAAAAATGATGATGATGCCGTTATCCGAAATAGGTAGACAGGATCTGTATTTTTTTTATCAGATATACCCGAACTTTGAACAAACATTTGAGGAGGTACTCGTACCAATCTCAACAATCTGTAACGTACCTACTCGAAGGGGACAGAGGGTGAGGGATTGTTAGTAATGGGATCTAACAGCCCCATTGCTAGCAGGTCGGCCTCCACGCGGGTCCCCCAGGAACGACCGTAATTAATTATTGCTGAATTATAATGAGCCAAATGGTGCCCCGCAAGTGTATACTGATAGAGGTGGCGTGGTTACAATTTCATTTAATGGGTTTCAATTTCAATGGGTAACCATTGAAAAAAAGCCTACTCAAAGGATTATGACGACTATACTTATCTATACACGATCTAATAAATTAATGTATGTAGCGACAAATTGTATCTACAATTTTCCGTATGAAATAGACAAACCTATTTACGAGTATTTTGTATATTTCCATATATAGGATATAGTTTGAACTATACTTTCAGAAAAAATTGTAACGATTTATCACAGCGTTTCACAATTGCAGTCATATATAAATAAGTTGCTGCATGCTACGATAATAACAATAAAATTTATTTAGGCAAGAGAAATGACTCATTAGTAATGAAGACTATTGGGTTCCATTGTAAGCATTATACACTGTCAGGATCAGGTCAACCCCTATGCTGTCCTCTTGGAAACTATCGTGGTTAATTTCTACTTAATTTGTTATGATGGGCCAACTGACCTTACTTCGTCCTCACTGATATCCGGTTAACTTATACCGATAGCGAGTATCATTTCATTTTCATCCCATTAAGAAAATGTTTCCTTTAACAAAGAGTCGATGGATGTAGGTGGCTATTGTAAGTAGGCAGTAAGTGCTTTATATTATTCTCAATTTTGTGTATAATATAGTATATATCATATATGTGTAAGTATATTTGTTATTCATATATCTTTATTCATTTATATATGTAATTTTTGCATGTATGTATATCAATAATTAGTAGTACCGCATTCGAGTAGTCTGACACTTCCTTATGCGTTTATCATTAAGTCCGCCATGTAATATATATATATTCTAATAAAATTGTGGAGGTCCAAGTTTTTAGTAGTGTTTAGTAGGTTAAAGTGATGATAATAGCAAGTATTTTTAACAGCGACAGTGTTACGTGCGTGTGCACATAATACTGTCACTATGCATACACATTGTGTTAAAAAGGTGTGCATAAAATAATGTATAACAAATGTATAATAATATAATAGCGACCTTAACTATTTTTATATATAATACCATATAATTAAATACCTATGTTTATGCAAATAAATGATGATGACTTGACTTGACTATAATTACTCTATAGACATACAATATGACAAAAAAATACTTATTACATTTATTAAAGGTGTTCATGTTATTTAGTAATAGCCAGTTAGGATCACACAATTTAAAACATTACAGATAATTAGGTAGATAGATGTAAATAAATATCAATAGAATTTCACCACTGTTCTTTTCAAGGAATACATAATTTTGATAATTCAGTAATAAGAGTTATTATATAAAGCTACCTACAACTTCCTGCGGATTCAGTTGGAAATAAGGTTCAACTAAATACCTACATAATATTTAATTATTTCTTGAGCTGAAGCTGAAACTAGGTAAGTCTGTTAACTACTCAAGTATTGGAAATTTAATTTCAGCCAATTCAATATTTTAAATTAACGTATGTACCTTCTTTTCTTCGGTCTCTCTATGAGGCATGACGACCTGGTGTATACTGGCTCCCATCTATCAAAATAGATGTCAAGTTTTAAAATATATAAATGTGTATAAACGTAGTCTGTTTCAATAGAACTTAATCAAAATGTGAACAAACAAATAATAATATGATTTGACCATAACACAGTCTGCTGATGTTCAACAGTAGTATAAATAAATATTCGAGTAATTGATTGAACGATTCCAATTTAATTCAAAAAGAGTTTCTGTGATAATTTTAACAAAACTTGGTTATATTTTCATTAAGTACTATTGAAACTATTATTATACAAACATATACTGTAAATAAAGACGTAAAAATTATTAGGTTAAGATAAGATATATTAGGTTAAGATCTCGTTGCTGACTTTTGCTTTAATAAAATTTGGTTTAATTGACATGATGAGCAAAAATACCTATAATATAAAGGGTTTCCTGCTCTCAGTTCCAACCTAGAATTGCCACGCCAAAATAAATTTTATTCTTTTCTGTACGTGGTACATATGATGAAAAATATGATTGCCTATAAAAAATGGCCGGAAGTAAGGGTTGAGAGTATATAAAATTTTGGTGATGATAGGGGATTCGTTCTTTTTCTTTCTCTATACCATAGCACAGGGTTGTCTATAAAAAATGGCAAACCAAAGCTGTCAGCAGGCAACCAAGGTGCATTAGTATTTAATTTTAGTTCGTTTTTATTTAAAATAAATTTAATTATAGATCCTTGTATCTTTTTTTTTTATACAACTTAGAATGGCAAACAAGCTGACAGCCCACCTGATGGAAAGTGGTAACCGTCGCCAATAGACATGAGCAGTACTATGGACATAACAGAGTATACTGTTTCGTCCATGAGACCCCTATGTGTTGCCATTCCTGAGGACTTAGGTGTTATTCCTCTGTACCCAGTAAATTCATGCCATATCCCACCCTTCAAAATGAAATACAGCCATGCAAACACAACTGCTTTACGGTTGAAAAACGAATGGAATACCTACAGAGGTACCCAAGCAATCGACTTTTGTATAAAGTCTCCCTCTGGTGAAGTTCTCTCTGCAGAAGTTGCAACGAGATCTTAATTTATATGTATAAAAAGCGAGTTTTACACAAATATCTAAACATCTTTATAAAATCCTGGAAAATGATGAATATGATAATTTATCCTACACATTTACATATAGATCACCAGACCAGTCCACAGCCGTGTGGTTCCGGGATAGAATGAATTACCTATTCCTTTCCCGTGGGTGTCGTAAGAGGCGACTAAGGGAATTCAATAGTCACAGGATGGGCAGCAACGTCCATCTTCAAACATAACCAAAACCTAACTGCTGTTACTAACCCGTCTGCCAAGCTTGGCAACAATTACACACACATTTTTTTAATGGATGATTATGGAATGCTGTTTGGTCCCGGTATTTATAGAGTAAGGCCACCTTTGTCTTCCCATGGGTATCGTAAGAGGCAACTAAAGGAACTTAATGATCGCCAAAAGGGCAGCAAGCGTCCCTCTTAAAACATCACTAGAATCTTACAGCGGCTGCCAACCCGCCTGCTAAACGTGGCAACTACTGGCAAAACACCTCTTATGGGGGAGGCCTATGTTTAGTAGTGGACAATTAACCGTTGATATAATGATGGTGATCCACTTCCCATATTTATAATATTTTTGGTATTATCTACTTACCGAGTGATAAGATGAAATCATAAATTATGAGAATATAAACATAAAATAATAATAGAGACAAACCTTTGTCGATTCTGGCGATTCATTACGTGGTTCAGTTTTTCTGTTGTTGTCTTGAAGAAAAGCATTTGATACTGATCTGTAATCACTCTCCTCCGATGGTATCTACAAAATCAAAATAGGTATGTACGTATGTGTTCTGCATCGGAATGTCGACTTATGATGCATACATTTTATAAAGATTTTCTCTATAAAATGTATGCATCATATAGGTTCTACTTGTGAGAGAAGTTACATGAGATAAGTTTTGAAAGTGGAGAAAGAAAAATGATAATGTAAGAATAGAGAGAGGCCTTTGGTAATCAGTTCCCTGTCTCGTAATAGACTCGAAGTGAATTTAGATAAGTTTTATATAAGAGAGTATAACTTATAACATGATAGCAAACAGATTCTTTTACGTAAAATTATTATAACATGCAAGTTTTAAAACGGTCGAGTATTTTTAAATCCGTTCAATATTTGTAAATTGTTAACGATGTAAAAAATATATCTGCGCAGCGCAATATTTATTTAATAAATGCTAACAAGTTAAATAAAAGGTAAAAAAAGTATGAAATATGCAACAGTAGTTCGATGTGCACTAATTAAATAACCTTGCAGTTTGATTCGATTTTACCTACATATCTGGGGCACAGTCAGTGCTCGCGCTATTTTGCTGCTCCAAGCAAAAATTAAATAACATTGAAAATATTAATTTTGAAGGACGGTCTTTATAATTAATGAATATATTTTTTTATATAGTTATAAATAAAAAAAACCTCACATATATAACGAATAAACGACTTTTAATGTCCATTGAAAAAAAAATGTATTAAAAGTGTGCCAATAATTATGATTGTTTAGAACGTACCTAATCTAATCTAAAGGTAGGTGCAGTTTATAACAAGAAATGAACATTCCAACAAGTCTACAATATACATAATATTGCACACAATTAGGCACGCATAATGCAAATAGTTGCCTAAAATTCTGTCTGATATTACAATAGTTTTAGTTATATTTCGCTTGTACTTACCTCACGGTTGCGTGTACCATCCGCTTCCCATTTGTTGGCAATGCGGATGGTTTCTGCAGTTTTCTGCTGCACCGATTTAGTGTCATCGAGAAGAGTGAGCTCGTAGAATTCTTGGATATCTGCAAACAACAACCAGCACAATTTATTAGCAAGAATTGACTCCAGTCTATATTTTTTTTTTTGCAGCTTAGTAAATAATAATATATGTGAAAAAGAGTTATGAAAGTAGATGAAATTTCTGACTATTTCAGCCTCATAATTAAGTCATCATTACAACGTATTTCCAAATGAATTACTTTTCACAGAGTTGCTTATAAATGTAATTTTTGTAATTCAATGAAAATTTTAAAATGCAAGGTAATGATAACATCCACTGATCCATTGATTCTCGTCATCAAAGGTATTTAAATTAAATATTAAACAATGTTATTTATCTAACGATGACCTAGGTGCCATAAGTATAAATAATATTTACTTAATGTTATGAGAACCGTGAAGCAGTTGTATTTGCATGGCTGTGTTTCGTTTTGAAGGGTGGGATATGGCGTGTATTTACTGGGTACAGAGGAATAACACCTGAGTCCTCAGGAATAGCAACGCATAGGGGGTATCATGGGCGAAACAGTATACTTTGTTATGTCCATGGTACTGCTCATGTCTATAGGCGACGGTTACCACTTTCCATCAGGTGGGCCGTCAGCTTGCCATTCTAAGTTGTATAAAAAAAAGAACCTATGGATTCTATGGCACTGTTCTCTGATCTTTAAAATAAAAAAATGACAAATTGATGTTACAGTCTAATCTTTATTCTAAGGGCTAATATGAACTAAATTTTTAATAGATTGAAGTCAAAATTATTATGATATAAACTAGCTATATAAAATGCTAACAAATCTTTCTTTTAACTCACTTAATTTTTTATATGGAGATAATTAACCAAATTTTTTCATTTACCTCTAAGTTTTCAAAAATTTTCTTTTATAAACATGAAGTCCACTATAATGTATAATTACAGAAAAAAAAAATAGTAAAATAAGCGCAGCCGTTCTAAAGTGACGCACTTACAGACATTCGGCAATTGATTTTTATTTATATAGATTTAGTTTATGATGGTCCAAGAATTTTCTCCCTTTAATGCTCAGGCTGTAGAATGAGCTCTCTGTCGAGGTTTTCCCTAGAGACTACAGTATGGGGTTTCCGAAAAGGGTATATTAGGATTTCTTCAGGGTCACAACACACACGTGTCCACTCTAGTATTGCAGGCATCCATAGGCTATAGTAATTGTTTACCATCAGACGGGCTACATGCTTCTTTGCCATTTGACAATACTAACATTTGTATTCATGAGCATCTTTTTTTGTATTTATCTAGGTGTTCAAGTATTAAGTATAAATGTGTCATGCCCTGTTTCAATACAATCTACTAATAACAATAACAAGCAACGGCTGAGTGTCTTGCCCGTTTTTTTCAGCTGAAATTGCATTGCGTACTGAGCGGTAGATTAAAAAAATGAACATTTAAACAAACGAATAAATGATTCATAATAAATAACCTGTTGATGTACAATAATAGTATAAATTAAAAATTGATTAATAAATAAACTTTGATTTATTATTAATTTTATTTGAAGAGTGTTGATATTAATTTCTATAAAAACAGACTATCAGTCTTTTTTAATGGATTACAATATAATAGTAATTCCGCTAACGGTATACGCCGAAGGGGACTAGTAAGGGATGATAGAAGAGGATGACAGCAAGTCAATTAGCCCATCATGATGAATAGACCTAGAATTAGGCAAGATGGTTTCCAAGGGGGAACACGTGGAGGTCGACCTGGTTTGGTATATTGCTAACAATGGGGCCCTTAGTCCCCATAGTTACGAACAACCCATCCCCCCTGGATTATCAGTTTGTCAGTTGTTATGTTATTGTTTTTAATACAAGATTACTTTTATTTAACGTTATCATTTGGTATAAACTGTATTTCGCATTATAAAAAAAATAATTAAACGTGTTTGTAATTGATGCGAAACGTAATGTGAGATTCCTATAATAGGTGAGGATCAATTCAGGTCAGTTGGCTCATCGTGACGTATTCATCGCGAATTAATCACGTTGGTTTGTAGGGAGGACCGCGTCGAGATCAGTCTGATATTATCCGGATGATTATACTTACATACATACACTTCATAAACATTACTAATTTTCTTCGATAGACGTTTAAGAGCAAGAAATAAATAACAGAGAAAAACTTCTTGGTTTTCAAAAATGGTAACGCGTGAACTATCGGAGTTTCAGTGCACACTATGATGTTCATGTCTATAATATTATCATACGAGCCGTCAGTTTGTTTTAATACCAAGTCGCATAAAAATAAACATGTCTGGGATGAAGATATCCTGAAAATGCATCTTTCTCTCATCGTTCAAGAATATTTTGGTTTGTATCTCCATGAATGAGCAGTACAATGCAAACTATCGCGTGAGTTCAGTTGTGTAGAAGATCGATATCGAATGGGCGGTGACCCCGTGGTTCATGTACTTACGATGAATTTATTGTTATGATATGAAACGAACAAGGACTTTCATCATTGTCATTCCTTATTTTGTCATTATTTACTTTACATGATAATAGAGGTTTCAAAATGGGCACCGCCAAAACGCATATTATTTAGATTTTTTTGTTGTCTAGTACATCAGACTATTCTAAGATTAATCTAAAAATCTAAAATATACAGTAAGAAAATAACAAATATAATATATTTTATAAATATTATTCGAGTAAAATGTAAATTTTGCAATGTAAGGTGCGAAAAGTGTCCACTCTCAGTCTCAAATTAAAATGGGCAGCGCACATAGGTAGTCGCACCTACGAAAGTCGTAGAGATGGTAGAAAATAGACCTGCAATTTTATTAAGCAGAAATTTAAAAAATCTATAGAACGACAATACTGTCCACTTTTGAAATCTTTGTATATAGTCATTGAAGAAATCCTATGTACTGCGGGGTTTGCAATGGGGACTAGATATTGCTAGCAATATACCTTGACAGATCTTATATACTTTGTTATGTCCATGGTACTGTTCATGTTATAGGCGACGGTAACCACTTTCCATCAGTTGTGCCGTCAGTTTGTTTGCCATTCTAAGCTGCATAAAAAAGGTCGACCTCTTCGCGGTTCCCCGTGAAAATCATCGTGATTTATTCTTGATGTATTCGATACATTGGGCTAACTGAATAGCTTTCATCATCACATCCCGAATTAGTGTTCCGACACCGTAAAAAAACCTATGTCCCAAGGAGAAGATTAAATTCAAACTTGACCAAATTGTGGGTATCAAACTTAGCCAAACTATACCAAACTTGATGTAAGTGTCCAAAAGCCTATTTTGGCAAATTTGGGCAAAATTACTCATAATTTAGCCCAACTAAAAAGTAATAAAATCTGCTATCAAAACCCAAAAAATACTATATATTTTTTTAGAATAACAAATCCCTAATAATCGATCGATTTTCACCCCAATTTTCGCTGTCCACCCCCAAGTGTGATACATCATAAGTCGTGTCTCGCCGTCCTCCATCCATCGTCGTACCTTTCATACGTCTCGCTTTCACTCGCCCATACAACCGACTTTGAAAAACGTGAATTTTTCACGTTTTTCCCGCATAACTTTCGAATTTTCCTCCCGCGCCTGTCCCGATTCTTTCGTTTCTGCCATCCACCCGTCGCCCCGCGTCCGACGAGCCCACTCTCGGCCCGATCGGAGCAACTTTCCCCACCTAAATCACACTTTGTCTCTTCAAAATATTAAAATCGAATTTTTTTGACAGTTTTTCGTACCTAACTCAAAATTTTTGTTCCCCCCCTATACAGTTTCTCGACGTCATCGTTAAAATCTGATTTTTCCGCGTCTTTTGACATATAACACACCTACCTACTTGCCGCGGATCCAAAGTTCACTTTCGAACCGAGGTTACTTGGTGAGTAGTCGCGAAACACAAATCATCGATTTTCACCCCAATTTTCGCTGTCCACCCCCAAGTGTGATACATCATAAGTCGTGTCTCGCCGTCCTCCATCCATCGTCGTACCTTTCATACGTCTCGCTTTCACTCGCCCATACAACCGACTTTGAAAAACGTGAATTTTTCACGTTTTTCCCGCATAACTTTCGAATTTTCCTCCCGCGCCTGTCCCGATTCTTTCGTTTCTGCCATCCACCCGTCGCCCCGCGTCCGACGAGCCCACTCTCGGCCCGATCGGAGCAACTTTCCCCACCTAAATCACACTTTGTCTCTTCAAAATATTAAAATCGAATTTTTTTGACAGTTTTTCGTACCTAACTCAAAATTTTTGTTCCCCCCTATACAGTTTCTCGACGTCATCGTTAAAATCTGATTTTTCCGCGTCTTTTGACATATAACACACCTACCTACTTGCCGCGGATCCAAAGTTCACTTTCGAACCGAGGTTACTTGGTGAGTAGTCGCGAAACACAAATCATCGATTTTCACCCCAATTTTCGCTGTCCACCCCCAAGTGTGATACATCATAAGTCGTGTCTCGCCGTCCTCCATCCATCGTCGTACCTTTCATACGTCTCGCTTTCACTCGCCCATACAACCGACTTTGAAAAACGTGAATTTTTCACGTTTTTCCCGCATAACTTTCGAATTTTCCTCCCGCGCCTGTCCCGATTCTTTCGTTTCTGCCATCCACCCGTCGCCCCGCGTCCGACGAGCCCACTCTCGGCCCGATCGGAGCAACTTTCCCCACCTAAATCACACTTTGTCTCTTCAAAATATTAAAATCGAATTTTTTTGACAGTTTTTCGTACCTAACTCAAAATTTTTGTTCCCCCCCTATACAGTTTCTCGACGTCATCGTTAAAATCTGATTTTTCCGCGTCTTTTGACATATAACACACCTACCTACTTGCCGCGGATCAAAGTTCACTTTCGAACCGAGGTTACTTGGTGAGTAGTCGCGAAACACAAATCATCGATTTTCACCCCAATTTTCGCTGTCCACCCCCAAGTGTGATACATCATAAGTCGTGTCTCGCCGTCCTCCATCCATCGTCGTACCTTTCATACGTCTCGCTTTCACTATACAA